GAATATTTGCTTGAAACTGAGTATTGATCAGTGAGTGAAAATTTTTGAAAACACTTGCTGCCTCGGATTTTTCTTTTAGTAAATAAATCCACGTGACTCTAATGTGATCATCAATGAATGTGATGAACCATCTAGATCCTGAGGTTGTTTTACTCGTGAAGGGCCCCAAATATCACTATGCACAAGAGAAAAAGGTTTTGATGGCATATACTTTAAAGATGGATAAACAGATCTATGATGTTTTGCCAATTCACAAGCTTCACACTGAAAAGAAAAACCGTCCTTTTTTTTGAAAAGATTTGGAAACAAATATTTCAAGTAATTAAAACTAGGATGGCCTAACCTATAATGCCACAACATTATTTCATTCTCACAAGACAAGGTAGTAAAGCATCTCGGTTTCTGAACTTGTTTATCTGAAGGATTGTCCGTGACCAAGTGATAGAGTCCATCAACCTCCTTAGCATTGCCAATCATCTTCCCCGAACAAGGGTCCTGAAATTCAAATCCAGCAAATGTTATTGTAGCAATGCATTTGCAATCATGAATAATACGATTAACAGAGATGAGATTGCAAGAGAGCTTTGGGACATGTAGGACATTTAGTAATGTGAGAGATGGAGAAATAATGATAGAGCCTTTTCCAGCTATAGAGGTTAGGGAGCCATCAGCAATTTTTACCTTCAGATTACCAGATAAAGGAAAATAAGATGAGAATATGGAGGAATTACCGGTCATGTGATCTGTTGCCCCTGAATCTATGATCCAAGGGTTTGATTTAGAACCGGCTATGAAAGCTGTAGGATATGTACCTTTCTGGGCTAATGATGAAGAGACAATATAAGATGATGGGTTAGGAGTGTTTGGATATGGAATGAGAACTCATTAGTTGATACAATTGCTCTAGTTGTTCTTTGCTGAAGGCAGACAGTTCTGAGGCAGGTTTCGGCTCTTCAGAAGCATCTTCAGATGAGGCATGAAATCCCTTTGCATTACGAGAATTTCGATTGGCTGAAAAATTCTCGGCTGGCTTCCCGTGTAGCTTCCAACACTTGGCTTTAGTGTGTCCCGGCTTGTTGCAGTGCTCGCAGATTGGTCGATCTCTGTCGTTCCAACGATCGTTGCGACGTGGTGGCTGACCCGAGAACAAGGCAGAAGACTCGGTGGGATTTGGTGAGTGGCCTCCAAGCATGACTGTCCGCCGGCTCTCCTCTCGTCTGACTTCGGAGAAGACTTCTCTTGTGCTTGGTAGTGGTTCACGACCAAGAATGCGCCCTCTGACTTCATCCAATTCCTTGTTAAGGCCGACAAGGAATTCGAAGACGCGTTCTTTTTCCACCATCTTCTGGAATAGAGCCTTGTCCTTAGCACAACTCCATTCGTAGTCGCTGAACATGTCAACCACTTGCCATAAGGTCTTGAGTTCAGTGTAGTATTGAATGACAGTTTTTTCTCCTTGTTTTAGCCTCCATAACCGAGTTTTTAGTTCAAACCATTGTTCTGCGTTCCCGAGATCAGAATAGGTCTCGTTCACAGCATTCCAAATGTCATGAGCAGTAGGTAGGAAGAGATAAGTTCTCAACTACACTCGGATCCATGGAATTTATGAGCCAAGACATAATCATCGAGTTTTCTGCCTCCCATCTTTCAGATTCTTCATCTTCTTCGGCAGGTTTCGTAGTGGTACCTGAGAGATAGCCGAATTTTCCACGGCCACGAATAAACAGTTTCACAGATTGTGACCACTGTAAGAAATTATTTCCATTCAACTTGTGAGAAGTGATGGATATGTTTTGGAAGGATTCAGTGTTTAGGGTGATTGAAGGTGAGCGAGTAGAACTCATAGAGTCGATACCAGAGGTATCATCGTATGGTTTGGCCATTTTGGCTCTGATACCATAAAGACGGAAAAAAACTTGTTCCGAATAAATCGTGTTTATTTCTGCTGAATATGGCTGACTTAAATAGAGTTTACAATGTAACAACTTTACATAAAAAGATGCATAAAATTAGCAACAGAATAAAAATGATTCTATCGAATTAAAAATGATCCTATCTAATAACTAATAAAATAAAAAACTAATTTTATCTAATTAAAAATGATCCTATCTAATAACTAATAGAATAAAAACTGATTCTATCTAATTAAAATTGATCATATCTAATATTTAATTTAGATATTCTCGACAGTATGTATCTTTACATCTCTGAGTCTAATGTTTGTCCATCTGGATGGTTAAGTATATATTTATCTAGTTAAAATAATTTCTTTGTAAGAAGAATAAAATCTGAAATTTTGTCTGATATGCATATGGTTTCTAACTGCAGTTTGTAGTTGGCTTGGGTGACAAAGTTTCCCCCACTGACATTGAAGAAGGCATGCGTGTGGGGTAAGTTTTCAATTTTGTTAACATATATATATCCCCTTCACTTTCTAATGGTTTTTCAAGAGTTTTATATCCTGAAAATAGTTTATTTCTCCCATTGCAGTTGTATTGATGCCTTTGTTTAAACCTTGGAAATTTTTTTGGTAGACTTATTCTTGCAAGACCTGAATATAATTGTTGCCTTTGCAGGGTAGATCGCAACAAATATCAGATACAAATTTCCTTGCCTCCAAAAATTGATCCAAGTGTGACCATGATCTGTGGAGGAGAAGCCAGATTCACACATAATGACGTTGGTGGATGTAAGGAGCAGATTGAAAAGGTGCGGGAAGCATGCATTACACCATCTTTGTTTAATATGTTCCTGCACACACAAAATCGGAAGCCTTTCTCAATTTTTTTGTGCTTTTCTAATTAGTTAGTATTAGAGACTTAACATCCATGAATTGACGAGTTTTGTTCATTTAGGTTGTTGAGCTACCAATGCTTCATCTTGAGAAATTTGTCAAGCTCGGGATCGATCCTCCTAAGGGTGTTCTTTGCTATGGTCCTCCTGGAACTGGTAAAACACTTCTGGCAAGAGCTGTTGCAAACAGAACTGATGCTTGCTTCACTGTGTTATTGGAAGCGAGCTTGTTCAAAAATATGTTGGTGAAGGAGCTAGGATGGTTCGGGAGCTGTTTCAGGTTATAATCTGCTAAATTTGGTCGCTTAAATTTTCTCTTGAAATTATGCTATGCCTACTTATTTTTATTCTGACATTATTGAATGACCACAGATGGCACGATCAAAGAAAGCATGCATTGTCTTCTTTGATGAAGTTGATGCCATTGGAGGTGCACGTTATGATGATGGTGTGGGTGGAGACAATGAGGTTCAGCGAACCATGCTTGAAATTGTTAACCAGCTAGATGGCTTTGATGCTCGTGGAAACATCAAAGTCCTGATGGCAACAAACAGGTCGAAGTTGCTTTCTACAATTTTAACTCTTTTTATTTGGTTTTATTCAAAGAAGCCTTTGTGCAGAGGAGATGCTTACAGCAATTGTGCATTTTTCAGGCCAGACACACTGGACCCTGCATTATTACGTCCCAGACGACTGGATCGTAAAGTTGAGTTTGGTCTTCCGGATTTAGAGAGCCGGACACAGATATTCAAAATTCACACTAGAACAATGAATTGTGAGCGTGATATTAGATTTGAGCTTTTGGCCCGACTTTGCCCTAATTCCACTGGTAGAATCTCCCTTCTAAAGTCAATCTTGTTCTGAATATTGTTCCACGTATAAGAGTGATTTTGAGATTTTATGCTTCTTATTTGCAGGAGCCGATATAAGAAGCGTATGCACTGAGGCTGGAATGTACGCTATTCGAGCTCGAAGAAAAACAGTGACGGAAAAAGTTTTCCTCGATGCGGTAAACAAAGTCATCAAGGGATACCAAAAGTTCAGTGCAACACCTAAATACATGGTTTACAATTAACCCAGAGACCTTGGTGAGACCCTCTTATTTGCACTTCTCAAACTTTTTAGGATACATGCATTTGCTTCAATCATAATGCATTTGAAATTATTTATTTTCCGTGCTGGTTTTTGTAATTGTTTTAATGGCTATTTCTTATTTACTTCTGCCTTTCTTTTCTTATTTTCAATGAAGTGGTCGATTTTAAGATTCGAAACTCGAATTTGTTGGATGCAATTTTAAAAGTGAATGCTTGAACCAAACTTCAGATTATTGGGTAATTATCACTCAACTTTCACCGTGCTCTTGTTTTAGTCGCTAAACTTTAAAAAATTTAATGCAGTTATTGAACTTTTAAATTTTTTCGTCTTTTTTGTCACTTGTTTAAAAGTTTTTTAATGGTTTGGGATGATTATAAGGTAATATATGTTCAGAATTTTTTTAACTAATTGATAATATATAGACATCCTATGCGTGCAGCTGTTCGAATTCATGATCTCTAATGACAATAATATTCTTTTTCAACATTGAAGCCTAAATAAAAAACGAAAGGGTGATGTGATCGATTTTTTGTTGATCGATATGGATTACATTTTTATTGATGAGGAAGTTATATGTTGGTATATAAATTTTTTTCTTTTTTCTTCCTCAAGACGATGCTAGTTTTTCTATTTATTTTATGTTGGTGGGGAAATTATTATTTTTGACTTTTTTTCGACGACACAAGTTAAGCTCACTTCATTGTTCTTTATTTAAAATATACAAAATTTAACTTAAAATTTAGAGAAAATTAATTTTTATATATGATTTCTGATCGATATAGAATCATGACATATAGCTTGTATCCTCTTAATTTCTCCATCATTAAAATAAAATGTCTCATTAAAGGAAATCTAAAATGGAGATTTCATAAAAGGTAAAAGAAAATCTTGGCCATTTTCATAATTTTCTTTTAAATTAGATATCCAATCCTGTCAATTTATTTAACTACGAAATGAATGCTTTATAAATTTAAAGTTAGTGATCAAAACAAGAATATAATAATTGAGCGATGAATGAAAATATTCCAAATTGTTAGTTTAATCATATTGTTTTCTCATATTCTTAGTTTAATCATCGGTCCTTGGGGTTGTTCGCAAATAGCAAAGTTCCATTGGCAAAAAGAAAATATAATTGCAATGAATGAAAATATTCCAAATTGATAGGCAAAAACAATAAATGGGGAAAATTACATCAAATCCCTCCACTTCAAAACATCATTCTTATTCAACCTAAACTTGATGCATATATCTGAAATAGCCTTTTCATTAACACTACCATTGTCATCATGTCCACTCTGAACAAGCTCCTCCAACTCCTTCGACGGCTCCAAAACCTATTAAGAAAATTGTAAGCTCGTGTTATCATCGGAATCCGTATTTTGTTCACTCCACTAGAATATCGATCGAAATGAATATATAATAATGAGGTCTTGCAAATGACAAAAGGACCTTCATCTTTGTATTTCATGCTTCTTTCCTAAAAATGGTTTTGAAATTAAAAACCGAAAAAGAAAATAAAGATAAGAGCATGAAATGGTAAACGGAAACCTTGGAAGAGCATTTTTGAGCTCTGGAAGAATCTGTGACTAATTGAAGAAGCTTCTCGCTTCCCTGCAATGTCGACATAGACAAAGAAATGGTGAGCGCACTGTTTTACTTTATACCAACGGATTGTATTAAGTGGAAGGTTAAAAAACAGTGATTACAATCGACCGAAAACAAAGGTACCAAGCTTAACAACATATTTAAAACTAGGCATATCAGTTCCTTTTTTCCTCTCACCTATGTACGGAACAGGATCTTCTACCACTCTGAAATAAAAAACAAGCATGCCGAGTGAACGAAAGCAGTAGCAAGGAACCACTTGAGAAAAAGTATTGTTGTGAATATCTTAACATGTTCAAAACAGATTATGGTTGCATATATGACTCAAGTTAGGCACTACATTACCCGGACTCGTCTTTGAGGGACGAATATGGGTACATTCAACTTTTTTCCACTTGTTTCTTGTGTTTGGGGGGTTATATCTCTATACTTTTATCTGGAAATGCGTCAAGCACGAGTATTGGACACAGTTACTTGAAGAAAAACAGAAGAGTCGGAATAACATGACTCAGGCAGCTAAAGTTGATCTGTGATATGATGGCTGACAAAGGTTATGCTAAACTGTTCGATTCAAATACTAGATGCAATAAAATATCCCACAACTACGGTCTCTTTTAAAGCACCCGAAAGTATCTTCAGGAATAATAAATCCCACCTGGAGAGCTCGCCAATGTGAATATGTGCGAAACAGGACCCAAAAAAAGGGGATGTTAGGCAGAGGTAGAACCTAGTGAGCAAGAAGATTTAAGCGAGAATGTGAGATAAAATCAGGACAAGGAAAAGTTCAAAATGGTTAAACCATAAATGATGGAGCAACAAAGTAACAACATACGTACAGCAAGTGCAGTAGTCAGTGGAAGCAACGTAACCGAACAGTAAAAGTATTTCCTGTGTATAACAGTACCCCTGAAAATCAGAGAACACTTTGGTTAGAAATAATCTTGCTTACGTGCATATTATGTTACTCGAGCTCAGGCATAATTGTCAGAAAAAATATTTCTACGTTTCCAATGTATTTGGAAGGTTGTTCGAGGGGCATATCCCCATACCCATGCTTGAAAATGTGTCAAACATAAGCACTTCAAGAAAAGCGAAGAGTCGGAGCAACATAGTTTGTATGAATTCATATTATATAAAAAATATATATCATCATAATTAAAACAACACCAAATCTCCAAAACCCCTTTTTTCATTGGATTGTTGGAGATTAAAATGTCTAGAAATCGATAAACTGTCCATTGAGGCAAAAACTGTCTAGAGATTCTGGACGTCCATATTCATCAGGATTCAAGCAGAAGGGAATTCCCGATAATCCAGAAGTGGTTCCTCCAGAAAGCCATAAACCAAGTTAAACGACCTTTGCAGCTATTCTCATGATCATTTTGAAAAATACAGGAACCTAGAAAACAACCAAGCTTCTCCACTACATTTTCATGTATTCTAATCTCCACAATATCAGTAAAGCACATAGAAAGAACAGTAGAACAATTACCTCAAGGCTATCTGTCGTAATCTTCTCCGTACAAGCCGTGCATTCAAACTGCAAAGCGTTTAGAAGCATTAGGAACAAACCAGCAATTATCCAAAATGCCGGACACTAGAAAACCAAATTCCGGTATTCTTGATCACAGTGTATTTAGTGTTAGTTTCTCATTGAAGAATCCAAATTCCATGTAGAATTCAACACAGGGACAAATCATAGAAGGATACCTACCTTTCTCCATTGCTCATTTGAATATGCCTACATGCTCCGATCATTCATTTTCTTTAAATACTCGTGTCCGACACCGGTATGGAGATTATAACTATTTTTTTATAACAATTGAAAAAAAAGAAGAGGAAAATAAATAACCTGGAGGGGTATGCAATCCGAACATTAGTGACCTCTTTGGTTATAGATTTCAACAGAATCTCAGACGGCTTAACTCGAGCTAAAAGCTGTAATCCAAACCTATAAATATCAAAACCGAAACACAATCAACATAAAATAAGGCAAAAACTCCAGTAATTCAAACCAATCATATTTGATTTTCAACTAATACCCATGGACTTGTTCTTGAAACTGCCTTCAGGTGCTTTTTCCAGACCAGCCCATGCATTATTCATCTATGTTAAAAACATGAACAAGAAAGGACTCAATGCATATTGAAAAGCACATTGAAAATCAAAAGGGTCCATGAAAATGATATATATATATATATAAACCTTGTCTGAAATGAAATCAACAAGAAGCTCAACATTGGCATTGAGTGGCTTGGGCCTGGATGAAATCTTCTTCCAGAGGTCTTTGACAGTGGAAGGAGTGTTAGTAGAGGTGAATTGTGATGCAGATTGATCAATGGATCTGCTAAAACACCAGATTTTGCCTCTAATTGGAAAAACCACCAGTCTAGCCCTCATAATGTATGATAAAATGTCAAAGAAAAAAAAAGAACAAAGAATTCAAATGGAATTCCTTTTGGGTTCAAATGGGTATTAAAAACCAAGGGATTCAAAAGGGTCTGTATATCCAAAAACTAAGAACAAGAAACAACAAAAGATATCCTTTTTTACAAAGAATTCAACACTTTTACAACGAAAAGAAAATGGGTTCTGTTTATGAGTAAAATCAAAGCATTTAGTTATGCAAAGCGAGCGCAAAGATAAAGAAGAAGAAGAATTACTTTTTATTTATTTTGTTTTGAAGAGGAGAAGCAAATGCTTTTGAAGCTTGTTTGAAAGGTTCAAAGTTCGAAAATTTTGTTAGAGAAAATGTGGGATATTGTCTGTTGTCTAGGACTATATAAAATTTAGAAGATTGAAAATGGATTGTATCAACTTTAGTTTAATACACATTTTGGACCCTAAATTAGAGTTATATTCTCATTTTAGCTCTTACATTTTTTTTCAAATGTTACCCTAAAGTTTAGATTCATCAACGATTTTGGCCATTTTGTCTAATATAATTAAAAATATTATATGATCTTTTAATCAATTAATGATTATTTTAAGGATAATTAAAAATAAATTAATGATTTTTTTGTATTTTAATATATCTGAAGTTTTCCAATTATTTTTTAATAAGTTAGAATAGTCAAAAAGATGTTTAAGAAAATGAGTGAACTACAGTGAGGTTTTGATTTAATTAGAAATTAGATTTAGAGATAAAAATTTAAATATTTTAAAAACAAATATTGATTTTTTTTTTATTTTTGAGAATTTTTTTAAAAATTGATTACAAATTACGATTGAAAAGATGATGAAGAAAAATTAATGCAAAAATCGAATAAAAAATATTATATGATCAAAACATTCTGAAATTCCTCAAAATATAAGTTATTTAATTTATATATATTTATTCTTTTCTAGTTTTGTGTTTAAAATATATTTATTTTAACTTGACTTTTACATGTCACTCAAATAAAGAAACTAAAAAAATTAAGTGTTAAAATGAAAACCACGCCATACTTTAGGGCTAAAATGAAAACTTTTTATTTATTAATTTCTCTGTTCATAATCTTAATCCCCTAGTTAATTATCCTTCCTAAAAGCACAAAAATAACCCAGAATCTCTCTCGTTGATCCATTCACTTTCCTTAAAATTTTCCCGAGAAAGTGACCCTCGTACCTCAAAGAGGAAAGGAAAAACATTATTAAATGTGGTGGAGATCTGCTTCTTTCATTCTCGACAGACAGCAAGAACAAAACGCCGCCGTTCCACCCAATCCCGAATCGCTCTTGCTCTCGTCTCCACCTTCTTCAATGGAAGATTCTCTCCAAAACCCTAAACCCAACATTTCCGCTTATTACCAAACCCGCGCCGCCCACCACGCCGTCGTAACAAGCGATTGGCTCGCCCAGGCTCAGGCCGCCGTCAGCATCCAAACCAACGACGACGACTCGTCTGTAAGTGATGGGAGAATCGCCCCGGCCGCTGGAGGGAGAGGAGGCGATAAGGCGTTTAGCGTTATTGATGAGTTCAATAGCTGGAGGAAGCAACCAGATTTGGCGGAGGCCGTGGCGGCCATCCGTGCCCTCGCGGCGGTTATTACGGCTAGCCAAGCTACTACCATGATGGAGCTTGAAATTGAGCTAAAAAAGGCTTCTGATTCGCTCAAAGTGAGTCCTTTACTTTTTATTTATCTGAAAATTTCTTTATAAGTTAAACACTTTTCATTGTTTTGATAATGACTGATGAATTATACTGTCAAACTTAGTGAAATACGGAAATTTATAGAATCATATGTGTGTGTTTAAGCGCTGAGTTACTGGGTTTCGGGAGTAAGTGTCGAACATGAGTAGGCTCAAAATTTGCCCACGTTTTCGTGTACGTGGAGGATCTTTTAGAGACTCCCATCTCCATCCTCATGTCCAAGAATGTGTTTAGTGTTTCCATATGTACTTCAGGAAAAATGAAGAATCGGATTATCAAAGTTTAAGCTACTCGCTTGAATCTTATACAAGCTAAGACATGTGAGAGTTTTAATGTGGATATCCATGTAATTGTCGGACATGGTAGGCTCAAAATTTTCCAAGGTTTTAGTGTTCGTGGTGGGTCTTTTAGATAATCCCATCTCCATCCTCATGTCCAAGAATGTGTTTACATATGTACTTCAGGAAAAAAAATGAAGAATCAGATTAACAAAGTTTAAGCTACTCGCTTGAATCGTATACAAGCTAAGACATGTAATTGTGTATAAAAGCTAGCTTTTACCATATTGCTGTGTAGGACACGCACTGGTTAAATGCTAATCCATGTATGATTGTAAAGGCCTAGTATACTGCATTGTCTTAATCATTTTTTCTTTTAAGTTTTCAAATTTGTTCTCGAGTTTCCAATGGCATTATAAGTGATGTTAGCACCATAGTTACGGAAGTATATTATAAGTTGCTTAGGTTTATTGATATGAAGTCATTCTCATTATTAGGTGTCCGGCATTTTCAACCATTGGCAATATGTTTTATGATAATAGAATGGTGCCCCAAAGCAATCCTTTTATGTTGCCTCTAGCTGTTTAGCATTTGTATATTTAAGAGAAGTCATATTGTAAACGGTTAAAGAATGACTTATTAGATGCATAGCAAGATGATAAATAGAGTTGGGGAAAATATTGGGTGCATTATAAATATACGAGGGTGTTTTGTTCTCATCCGCTGCCAGTGTGTGTTAGATTTACAAGTTACCTGTATGGTGTATGGTATTTTGGAATGTGTATCAGATATACCCTTCTTTTATTTTTAAAACACAATCGCACTGTTGTATAGAATTTGTACTTATTAGATTTTTCTTATAATCAAAATGTCGAGGCACTAAAGTTTGATTCATCAGGTGTGAATTTGGTTGGAATTTAACATATCTTTTTTCTGTTACTTTGGGTGAGGAATCCTGTTTTTGAGATGCGGAAGATGTGGAAATAAGAGAGTAACATGTAGAACTTATCCCAGTTCGTTCAGTTTGAGGGTTTAATGTAGTCTTTGTTTGCATCACTGCTAACTTGATGTTTGCTTTCCAGGCATGGGACACTACCTCGATCTCTTTGACAGCAGGTTGTGATCTCTTCATGCGGTACGTGACTCGAACATCAGCTTTAGAATATGAGGACTTCAATTCAGCTAGGTCTCGGTTGATAGAGCGTGCAGAGAAGTTTGGGGAAATATCTTGTAAGGTATTTTGGGTTATCATTACTTTTTATGATTTAACTTCAGTTATACTTCAATCATTCTCGTCCTGAAGACAGTATTCCTGAACATTGCAGGCACGCAGGATTATTGCAATGCTATGTCAAGATTTCATATTTGATGGTTGTACCATTTTGGTACACGGATTCTCCAGAGTTGTCCTTGAAGTATTGAAGACAGCGGCACAAAACAAGAAACACTTCCGAGTTTTCTGCACAGGTTCAGCTTTCTACATACCTCAGGACTAAGTCAAATGTGATGTTGTCATCCAAAAAGGAGTCGAGTCATCTTTTGCATATGTTTATGATGAGTTTATGACCATGCTTTCAATACAGAAGGAAGGCCCGACAGAACAGGGTTACGCTTATCTAACGAGCTGGCAAAGCTTGATGTCCCGGTAAAGCTTCTAATAGACTCGGCGGTGGCATATACGATGGACGAGGTGGACATGGTACTTGTCGGGGCCGATGGAGTCGTTGAAAGTGGGGTATCATAAATATGATGGGAACTTATCAGATTGCATTAGTGTCACATAGCATGAACAAACCCGTTTACGTGGCTGCCGAAAGCTACAAGGTGATTAAGGCTTCATTCTTTTTCTCATTTTTCCAAAACCATTTGAACTAGGAGATTATGGTATAGACTCATAAGAAAGAATCCGTATCGAGAAGTCAACGGTTTTTTATTAGCATATGATGTTTTTCTTTGCAGTTCGCCCGTCTTTATCCGTTGGACCAAAAGGATATGGGTCCTGCCTTACGCACTATTGATTTCGGGGTACCTATCCCATCCAAGGTTGAGGTCGAAAAGTCCGCTCGAGATTACACCCCTCCTCAATATCTTACTCTACTCTTCACAGATTTGGGTGTTCTCACTCCTTCCGTTGTTAGCGACGAGCTTATTCAGCTATATCTGTAGTGTTGATTGGCCGACGAAGCTCACCACTTGTTATGGTTTAGAACTATATGGAGACTGCTTATGTAGTGAGTGGGATTTGTGTTTTTGATGATTGATCACTTGATTTGCATCACATGCATAAAACCAAAGTTCATGTATCAAATACATCATTAAATACAAAGTTCATTAACAACTAGTCGTGTAGTGGGATGAACTATATCTTTGAAACAAGGTTAAGGGTTTGAATATGGGTATTTGTGAATGAAATAAACTGAATTAAGAGGCTTTCCTCCAAAATAAGTTTATGTAAAATTCGATTTAGATTAGTCGATCAATAGATCATATTTCAGTAGTTAAAAAATACAATTTGAAAATTTTGAAATCGTTTAAATGTTTTGATTCATGTCCAATATCTTTATTAATATATTTAACGATTAAAACTTTTTTACTGATTAAAAAAATTTTAGATGAAAATTTGTTATATATTTTGAATTTATTTAAGATTTAATATTTATGATTTATGTAAAGAGAATATAAAATTTAATAGTTAAGAATTCATCAAGTAGTTATAAAGAGTGAATGTTGTTCTCTTTAGAGGTCCTGAGTTTAAGCAGTTGCGTCTATAAGATATGTGTGCATTGTTAATGATTAAAAAATATTTTGAATATATACTACTTTTTATTTAGATCTCAAACTATTTAAAAATAATAATTATTAAAATATTTTAAATATAATTTGAAAATTTGTTTAAAAAGAAGCTTTGTGCAGCATATATATATATGTTCTTTGTCCTTGCCGTCCGCTATTAAAGCTTAAATCAAGATGTTTTAGTTGAAATCATAGTGAAAGCGATTTTCTTAAATTTTAATGAATAGATTTGTAATAGAAGAAAGACAAATAATAACGATGATTCCTAACATTTAGTTTGTTAGATTGAATAGTAAAGACTTTAGTCTTATTTAAATAAAATTTCAATATTAAATTTTGTAAATGGAAAAATAGAAGAGAATTTTGAATTTTATTAAGAAGTTTAACTCAATTCAACTTTAAATATAATCAAGATTCATATAATTATTAAATATCGATATTTAAAAAAATAATTATAATTAAGTCAAAGGAAAAAAATTAAAGATCTATAATAACTTATTGTAAATCTAAAAATACTCGAATTGTCGTAGAATATTTTGTCAAGATATTTGTTTTTAAGGTGAAAAACATTAAACATGTTTTTTTTTTATATATATTCAAGGTTTTTCTAAGGTACAACTTTTGTACTTAAATGACATCCTTCTTATGAATTATAAAAGAGGTGTTCTTTTAATCCAATATTCTAAACCAGATCAGAATATGGATCTAATTATAGATTGCTTTTTCTCCATTAAAAGCAAACAAGATTTCTTTTGACCTACGAGTGTTGACGTTGACCAACAAAAGCTACTTACAATTTAGGCAAAGGAAGGGTAGTTTCGGTACACCCTCGGAAAATGATCACTCAAAATAAGACCGATATTACCGAAAATTAACGCCGGTGACGGAATCTTCACATCCCACCAATCAAATCCTTCCACGTCAACCTCCCTTCTCCACGTGTCCCCTATGCAATGCCTCCTTCACCGACGCCGTCACTTCCCTTCCCGTCCACCGATAATAAAACACAAAATACCGAAATTTTCCAAATTTTCCGTTTCTTGTCGAAACCCTAAATATCCCCCTTTTTTGAAATTATTGATTTTTTTGGGTCTCCAATGGAGGATGGCGAAGAGATTCAATCGTACCCGTCGGTTGCCGCTACCGGATCTCCATCGCCGTCTTCGCCGTCCAATGGTCGTGTAACCGTGACGGTAGCAGCCGCACCTCCTCCGAATTCGCCACCTCCGGAAGAGCCGGGTCAACACGAAAAGGCGATAGTGCTGGCGCTTCCACCTCCACAGAAGCCGAAGAGCAACGGCGGTGGAAGGGAGGACTGCTGGAGCGAAGCCGCCACGAAGGTTTTGATTGATGCGTGGGGAGAGAGGTATTTGGAGCTGAGCCGCGGGAACTTAAAGCAAATGCATTGGAAAGAAGTGGCGGATATTGTGAGTAGCAGAGAAGATTATACAAAAACTCCGAAGACGGATATTCAGTGTAAGAATCGAATCGATACGGTTAAGAAGAAGTATAAGTCGGAGAAAGTTAAGGTTGCTGCCGGAGGCGGGCTGAGTAAGTGGGTGTTTTTTGAGAAATTGGATCAACTTATAGGATCCTCCGCCAAGATTCCTACTAATTCGGCTTCCCCCGGTGATGATGGCGGTGGAAGTGCTGACTTTTTGTCTAAAGTACCGATGGGGATTCCGGTCGGGATCCGGTCCAGTTTGAATCCATATCGAGTTTCTCGAGTTCAAGAAAGACGACAACAACAGTTCCAACAACAAAAGCAACCGAGAATTGTTGTATTGAAGAATCAGAGGAAACAGGGTCTGGTGGACATGGATTCCGAGGACGACGATGACGATGTGGATTCGGTCGATAGTTTACCGCCACCTCGGACAGAAAAAAGGGCAAGAAGGGTGGCTCACAAGGGTGCCAGTTCAGGTGAAAAAAGAAGAAAATGGGGGAATTCATTTAGGGAAATAACTCAGGCGATATTACGGTTCAGCAAGGCGTACGAGCAAGCGGAGACCGCGAAGCTTCAGCAAGTGGTGGAGATGGAGAAGCAGAGGATGAAATTCGCCAAGGAGATGGAATTGCAGAGGATGCAATTTTTCATGAAGACTGAGCTGGAGATTTCACAGTTGAAGCAAGGGAAAAAAAGTGCTGGAATCTGCAACTCTGGTAACCATCATAGTAAAGTTAATAATAGTAATAACAACAGTAATTGTAGTACTTGAGTTTCAGTAGGATTGGAATTTGATTAGTGGGTTAGATTTTATGTGCTTATTTGTATGTAATGAGTAAAGACATTAGATTTGTATTGGAATTGGTAGCTTGTTTTCTCAAGTGTAGTTATCATGGTTTTCTTTGTTAACATAGTGTGTGTACCTTGTATTGTGTTAGTGACTAGATGCCCAATTAGATTATCTACATATGGTCAAAATATAAGAATCAGACAGGTTTCAACCCAATGGTTGATTTTTTTTTTTTTTGAATTTTGGGTTTAGGACAGATCGAGACAAGTTTGTTATGAAGGGAATCGATGTCGAGACAGAGTCGGAGTGAGTTTTTACTTCAAAAGTCATGACAGATTTGAGACAAGTGAAATACCATCAAACTTGAGGTATTGGTAGGCAAGGAGAATGCGAGTAATTACAAGGGATTTTATAGGGGTGAAAGAGCAGGAGGAGCAATGGTGGTTGCAAACGCAAATGAAGAACCTATGGCAAGACATGGCAAATCATCAACAGCATGTGATTAGGTAGAACTCTACTTCTAGGGCTAACCATCAAGAAGGGTTATGGAATAAAACTTTGAACTTGTAGAACCGTCAACTTCGACATATTTGAAGCAGGAAATGCAAACAATCACATACAGAGATCATATAATAAATAACCTTAGATCTTCTCAAGAGATTAGAAGAGTCGGTCAAACAAAAAGCTTGTATCTAGGATTTTAGTACTCTAAAAGTAAATAACCAACAGATAGAATTCGAATCTGCTAATGCCTTTTCTTAAAGTATAGGGGTCCGCCACATGAGTATAGGGGTACAAAACCTCCAAGGATCCTTCAAATACAAAGAAAACCTGGAATAAATTGACTGACATATACTAGTATCGGACACTATGACTCGAGTCTGAACAACATAGAAATAATACACTCAAATTCAAGTTTTATACACATCAACAAGGAAAGATAAGGGGTTCATGGGTGAACTGGAGATATAGAACTTATCAAGAGAATTATTTAGAAGCCCATATAACTAGAAGATTGATATACAGCAATTAGAAAGCCTCACCTGATCAGTTATAGACATATTTCTTTAGAAGCACCATCCCAGGTCTCAATACATTTCCTAATTGCCCTTCAATTGATCTTTTGATTTCGTTCGCTTTTCTCTATTCTTAAGAAGCAAAGATGGTTTGAGCATGACTGGAGTTCCAATTTTGGGCAAAGCAAATATCAAAAGGCTCGACCACAGCTTGGCACTTAGCCTGACTCGAATCAACGATATCTGAACTATTTTGGGGTCTCCTTTCATGGGATGGTTTGGGTGTCTTGGACTTGTGTACTGAATCGGAGATGTTAATCTTGTTGGAGAAAGCATGGTGCAGTGGAGCTGTACAACTCTCGATGAAAGTTCAATCTGGTCTCTCTGAAATCCCAGGTTTGAGCCCGTAGAACAATGACAGGCAACCATCATTAAGGACAGCATCAGGAGTGCCCAATATTTCAGGAGTATCATTTTTCCCTCGAAATCCAGTACCAGCAGGCAATGATGCTTTCGGCCTATATTAGTAAACAGGGGCATTCTCATTCTTAGAGTACATTAAACCACTCGGCAACCTGTTGGAAACCGTCTCCCTTGTCTTTCCGGCATTCCATCAACCCGAGTATAATGAGACATTTCACAAGAATCGCCAAACTGGAGATGGTGATAAAAAATATTTAAACCGAGGGGAAAAAAGAACTTTTTCATTACTTATGACCTATTATCCAAACATTAGCACGTGAGAATCCACCATCGCCAAACCTCATAATAAACAAAAATTAACTCTGCCTTCTGTAATTAATGGAAATTATATAAATTTAAGTGTATATCAGTAAATTCCTCAAATTTTGCCACCTACGCTTTTTACAAAGAACTAAACCTTCAAGTAATGTACTATTTTTTTTTTAAATGAAAGAAAAAACGTAAAATTGAGTAATTGGTGAAGTTAGAGCAGAAGCTTACAGGGCTGTGACTGTGATCGGGAGGACTGGCCACCGTGAGGGGTTAGCCCACGGCCGGGATACATGTTCGCCGGCGAATCAACGGGGGAGGTTATTTTTAAGAATATTGGCGAGGAAATATAGTAGGCAGGAATCTGAAAAGCTATATATCTAAACTCATATTTAAATATGATTTTTTTTTCAATTAAATTGATATAAATACAAAGTAATATCTGTTCAATTTAAATATGATGTTAAATAGAAATGAAAAGTCTTACATACAATAAATAAATGGTAATCTAACTATTTAGTCATCTAACTATTGATGTATTTCTGTTTTCGCCATTTAAATACTAAAATTATCATTTTAACCATAAACATTAGTATTTTATTCTGTTTTAACTCTAACATGACTCGTGTTGCCGAGTTTGTCCATGTTTGTTGCAGAAACAGTGTTTGAAATTAAATTTAATGACTCTTTGGTTGGTTGTTGTGTTACAATTATTTATCAACTATGTTGTTCTAAATTTTTACTTTTTAATATTTATTTTTCTCTAAAAAGTAATTGTATATGAAAATATAACTTCTTAAAAATCTTTTAATTGAATAAGATTTTGTCAAACCGATTTATACAATCACAACGAAACGAGAAGTCCGAGTAAGATAATTTCTTGATGCTAGAGATGACAATCCAAATCCCCCGTTGAAATTACTATTTTACCCCATTCTCTCTCTCTATCTATCTATATATATTGATATAAATTTGATCTAAATTATTAATATTACCCTCACGATAAATTAATCAATTCCAAAAATTCATCAATGTTACTATTTTAGATGGGTATGAAACGATTTTAATAATTATTAAAAGAATACGACTTAAAGTACCCTCTTATTTGACCTAAATTATTAATATTACCCGTGTAATAAATTCTTCAATATTACCATCGTACTCTAAATATTCATCAATATCACCCTTTAACAGACAAAGCGATGAATACCACCTTCTAACAGACAAAGCTTCACATACATGTCTATTTCCCCGAGCCTCTCTCCAAGACAATGCCCAGATCGTTACGCCTTCATGCGGGTCAAAACTAACCCGACAAATAATTTCGCTACCTTAGGACCATTATAGTTACGGCCACTGTTTACTGGGGTTTCGGTCGCTGACCCCCTGTCATCAGGTCATCAACTTCCTTAACCTTCTGGCTCTGGGCAGGCTGAAACTATCTTCACCACCACTATGACAATCCACAACAATGCAAATATAACAAACTGTGACAATCTGCGACACTGACGTGATAGTAAATGATGGCATGACATAAGTGAATTTTTAGATGGGTATGGAACGATTTTGATAATAATACGATCAGCCCGATCTGTTATATATGAAGTTACTATTTTACCCCATATAAGTATTACTAGAATAAAAATATAAAATTGCACGATAGAATAAACCTTGTACTACATATATTGGGATTTGGGACAGCAACCATATGAAATATATATGAGTACATTGAAAAAGCTTCAAGATAGATAGCCATTTAGAACTCGAAATAATACCAGGAAATACATATGATTGACAATCAAGCAAACATATACGTATGCTATGTATAGACAGATAGAAATTAAATAGCAGGATGCAATGCCATCCCGCTGCTAAGAAAAGAACGAGGGGAAAAGCATATTAAAAAGCCTCCTAAATGTCTTTTTTCTTTAGAACTCGAATAAAACCTGCAAATGCGAGGGAATTAGGGATATAATAAATTACCACACCATCTCTGAATTTCGATTTACTGATAGTACATTAGCTGCTGGGCAGCAGCCACGTTCTGGAATCCACCGTCGTATATGGCCTGGCTTGCTCCCGCAGCACCAACTCCCATTGCTGTTTGCTTGAGAGGGTTCTGTCCCGGAGGGTGCATTAGGGCGTGAACACCGCCCATTTTGTTCATGGCAAGTTGACGCTCGTAGGCTAAAAGGTCAGTGGCTGAAAGCCCAGGTAAAGGTGCGGCGGCAGGAGGAGGAAGAGGATTTGAAGCTGTCCCGGGTGGTGTAGGTTTGCTGCCCCACGAACACTGCATAAAGCAAATTAATGATGCCGGTTTCTCATATTCTCATTAACTAAGGGATTAAAATTTGAAATAAGTTGGAAGTACACAATCTACATTAGTCGGACTCGGGTGTGCAAGATTCTGATATGTATCCGTCACAAGTATAATTAGATTTTTTAAGTGTTTTTCATGCATTTGAAGGATCATTAAAAGTCATATCCACATAATAAATGTCAGATTTAGATCAGCAAAAATGAATCTAATTAAAAACGACCATCCATTGCTCATTTTAGGATCCTTGTCCGAACATAAAAAGTATGCAAAGAATTCCTAAAACCAAACACTTAAAGTATTCAGATTTCAAGTAAAAGAGGAGAACAAACCTTAATTTGCTTGCCGCATAAATATGAGTGAGCATTCGCAGTTGAATAGCCAAAGCTGCCTCAGCATGAGTACTGTATCTCACAAAGCCAAATCCTTTTTCACGCTGGACTCGAACCTCCTCAATCACCCCAGCACCAAGAGCATGGAAGTGATAGTAGAGTTCAACTTGGGTGACCTGCAGAAACAAAAAAAAAATGGTTTTATTCGAGAATGTAACATGATCTTTACAGTACAAAGTAAACACAAGGGAAACTCTTGCAAGCGCTCAAAACTACATTAGAAGATGGGATTTCTTGGGTTCCAAAAACAGACAGCCGTTTCGAGCTCATACCATCATTGGTTGAAAATTTAATGAGAAGGATAGGAGAGTTCTCAAGATTAACATAAATTACTTACCTTGGGTGCAAGATTGCCGACATAAACAGTAGTATATTGAGGATTATTCTCAGGAGCCTCGTTGTTTGTTGTTGTCTCTTTACCATCCTCTGAGTCCAAAGCTATGAGGTGTAAGTTTATTTCACATTTGGCACAAATTTGAAGAAGCCGTAAAAAGGTAAAATAAAAGTAAAAAAAAATAATAGTAACAGTTTTGAGATTTGCATTAAAAAAAGCAATAATAATGTGAATGTTTCGAAAGCTACAATAAACACACCTGAAGAGTCATTGGTTAGTTCTACGACACTTTTGGCATCAGAGCTATCATCGCTGGTACCAACACCCTTTGTTGCCCAGTTACAACGAATCTGTCGACTGCCAAGCCACTTGCCTATAAAAATAAATCAAAGAACCTATGTATTTTAATGCAATATCAGCTAACAGAAATCTATGCCAGTGGCAGTCTGTTTAAAAATTAGTGCTACCTACAATTCTTCAGCTCAGCTGCAATAATATAATGAATTGATACTATAAACATGGTGCAATTAATGACAAAAGAAAGGAAAAACTTTTTTCAGATAACTCTTTCAGCAGCCTATTAATACTTCAAAGCAGGAAAGAAATGAAATCACATTTTGACACGAAAATTCACAGCTTTATTGATAGGCTAAAGCAGTGGTTAATGAACATAAAACACGTATTGCATTAAAAGCATTAATC